CCTACCTACCTACCTACCTACCTACCTACCTACCTACCTACCTACCTATCTACCTATCTATCATCTGTCTACCTACCTACCTACCTATTACCTATCTATCTACCTACCTACCTATTCCTTCAATTTATGGAAATGGAGGGACCAAATTGCAATTGCAAAGCTGAGTTGCAAAATGAATATGAATTAAGTGAAAGGGGGGAAGCGGGGGGGGGACTTTAAACCGTCAAAACAGAATTCCAGTTGGGGGAGTGGAATGGCTAGAATTTTTAATGTATTTCATGACTCTGATGATCAATAATTACTTCAGTTGATTTACTGGTGGAGTAAATTTAAGGTGTCAAACGTTTAAATCAACGTTTTCATTGCTACTGAATATAGATTTATTCACTAGGCTGCAGAATTTGGGGGTGGGTGGGGGCAAAAGAGAGGGTACCTTTTATGGGCATTCTCTGGTTTATAACAGAGTATTATTCGAAGTGTTATGTCTCCTTTCACCACTTACATTTTAGTTACAACATTTTAGGAAAATAATATGTTGACTTTTTTCTTTTCATATTTGGAATTTGACTCTTTTAGAGGGAAAAAAAGGGTGCCTCTTGTTTGGCTTGGTACCTGCCTGCTACCTATGCTATTGTGTGCCACACAGAGACAACTGTTGTGTTTCCAAATTAGCATGTAGTGTGCAAACTTCTGAAAATTTCTGAATAGTCAGTCAATAATAACAGTTTACCTTTTTTTCTTTATACGTGACGGACTACAAAAGGGGTAGATTGGTGGGTTTCAATTAATCTGCATCCCTTGTTATGGTGATGAGAACCACAGAAAATATATTTGATGTTCAAGCGACTTGAATCTATACCGGCTAATTAAAACTGAAAAGATCAAAGCCAGTCTATTGTCCTAAATAAATCTTCTAGGAGAGAAAGTATTACACCTCCAATTGGCCCAAACCACTCGGCTCTTCATTAATTTAATGCTTGAACTTGTTCAAAGCGCACAGCTTCCAAAAAAGCCATGTGAGCAGCAGCATTAAAATGCAGGGCTGTGCTCTTTGTTTTCTCAACTGACTTGAAAAGGTTGGGTTTGATATCATCAAACCGTAGCAGAAAAAGGATGATTTGTGGATTCCCGAATATTTATATATATATCGCTCTCTCCATGTGATCTGTTTTTAATAGCCTCTGGTCCGCAGAGATCAGAAGGATAATATTCGAGATCAAGGAATTCAATGTTTAATTGCTTCCATTGCACAGATTTTGTTATGAAATATCATCTCTCCACCTCCGTTTCCCAAATTAATTAGATTCTGGCAAGCGAACATATCATTATCCTTGACATTTGGGATATAATCTGCCAGGTTTTGATGAATATGGTGATAGGTTTCTCCCTGCCCCCAATCGTAACGCATGAAGCAATTTAACACCTTAGATGTTTTCCAGCAACAAAGCTTCGGATCGTGCTTGCTGGGCCGTCGGCTGTTTAAAGCAGTGCTCCTCAACCTTGGTCACTTGAAGATGGGTGGATCTCAACCCTCAGAATTCCCCCGCAAGCATCCCACACATCTTCAAGTGCCCATGGTTGAGAAACCCTGGCTTAAAGGGGGTGCCATTACTTGTGGTGGACCCGGATAGTGTCCTTCTTCTGTTGCCAATATTCTGTAAATGGATTGCATATCACAGTTCTGTTTTCTTGATGTGATCTGTAGCTGAGGCTAAACCAAGTCTTTCTAAACCAGGGACGTCAAACTCAATTTCATTGAGAGACACATCAGGGCTGTGGTTGACCTCAGGGGGCCAGGCAGGTGTGGCCAACTGGGTAGGTGTGGCTGACTGGGTGGGCATGGCCAGCTTGATGCCACTCCCCAAACTGCTGTCATGTTTCCTCTTCACATTGGGTAGACCGGGTTGAAGCCACATTGGCCTGATCTTTCTTATTCACATATGATATACGATCATGCGCCAGAATAATGTGCATGTTGCACAGAATGTGACATATTTATGGAAACATATGACTAGCCTTTTTTCCTAACGACTTGTATGAGGGTTAATTTTTATATTATTCATGTTGTCTTCTATTCTTATATGGACTGCACCAGTTGAATTTTAGACCAGGTTGACGCTATGCTGGCCTGATCTTTTCTCTTCGCACTGGGCAGACCAGGATGGCCCCATGGGCTGGATCCGGCCACATCGTGGGCCAAATGCTGCCCGTGGACCTTGATTTTGATGCCTCTGTTCTAAACCTTCCTGAACAAAGTGCAAGGAGACATCAGTTATAAATTGCCTTGTCCTTTCTTCAGTAAGTTACTGCACTTCCTGGGATTGATCGTCCTTCTCCCTCATTGCATTCTTTGACAAAGTGACTACATTAATGGACCAGTGAAATGCTGTGGAGACAGTCTTCAGCAAGGCATTCGACAGAGTAGACCACAGCCTACTTCTTGGTAAGCTAGAAAAATGTGGGATAGGCAGCATCACCACCAGATGGGTTCTTAACTGCCTGACCAATTGCACTCAATGGATAGTCCTCAGTGTTGGGAAGAGCCAACCCTTGAGAAGACCAGCTCAAGATCCAGAATGATCTTGATAGGCTTGGAGCATATCCAACAAAATACAAAAACCAGATGGACAGCTGTAGAATAATTGGTGTCTAGGCTGCATCTCCACCTGCAGACGGAGAGTATAAAGATCATGTGAAGTGTTGGTATTGCTTCACGCAGGTAGCCCTCGAATTACAACAGTTCATTTAGTGACTGTTCAAAGTTACAACGGCACTGAAAAAAGTGACATGGCCGTTTTTCACATGGCTCCTGTAGCATCCCCATGGTCATGATCAAAATTCAGATGTTTGGCAACTGGTTCGTATTTATGACACTTGCATGTGATCCTCTTTTGTGACCTGACAAACAAAGTCAATGAGAAAGCCAGATTCACTTAACAACCAGGTTACTAACTGAACACCTGCAGTGATTCACTTAACAATGCTGGTAAGAAATGTCGTAAAACGGGGCAAAACTCACATGACAGATGTCTCACTGAATAACAGAAAATTTGGGTTGAATTGTGGTCGTAAGTCAAGGGGTACCTGTACTGCTTTGGTAAGGTCACACTTGAGATACTATGTTCATTTTTGGTCACCACAATACAAAAATAAGATGTTAAAACCCTAAAATAGAGAGCAGAGAAGAGCAACCAAGAATCTGGAGGCTAAAACATACGATGAACAGTTGCAGGAATTGGGTGTGTGTAGCCTGGTCCTCCCTTAATGCCTATTTGCTTAGAGGCTGTTACAACAGTTGAAG